TTTTTTTTTTTCTGCATAGACTCTTGTGACCACACAACGATCCGGCAACGCATGGCTTTAGCGCTAACACTGTGACTGGGAACAGGACGAGTACAACCACAGTAAAATACAGCTGTCTATGAGAAGGACTGCGTAAAGGCATCTTTGGCCGTGCAGGCTCTGGGCCCTCTGGAAATAAGTCAGCTGCATCGCCAACATGACAAAGAAAATAGCGATGTTCAGGATCAGGAATAGTTTGGTGTACGAAGCGGAAGGGGCTCTGCTGCGAGTTGTCATCATCCGCGTCTGTCCAAACCGGCCTTTCATCAAGCCCCCGTTTTTGTGTTTCTCATACGTTACATCTGCAAAATCTAAAAGGTCTTTCATCTCTTCATCTTCATCTATGGGCAGTTCTTTCTGTGCTAGAATCTGAGCTTTCTGTCGAATCTTTTTTTCATTGACCTCAATCTGTGCAAAAATATCAGGGACCGCGTCCACAAATTTATAGCGTTTGCCTGCCCTTCGGTTTTTCTTTGACTTGCTCTGCTGCTGCTGCTGCTGCGATATGGCAAAAATCCTATCAATGGCCTCCTCCGTCTGCCTCTTGTCTGAAAATCTCAGCAGGCGCTCAGCGGTCTTCCTAAAGCTAGCTGTGTTCCGGACTCGAGACAGGATCTGCTTCTCCAGCAGCTGGAACACTGGCTTAAAATGCTGCAGGTTCTGTTCCACAATAGCAGCGTAGTCCTTCACCTCGGGCACAGGGGTGCTCTTGATGGCTGAACTCCGGTCGAACAGAATTTTCTGACGATCTGCAATGACCTGTGCAAAGGCAGACTGTCCCGTGGTCTCTCCTGTCCAAAGGTAAGTGGCGTAGGCATGCTGGCTGGTGGCTACGAACACATCCAGTTGCTGGGAGTCCCCGTGGATGCTGAAACTCTGAACATCTACAGACGGCCCTATAAAGAGGTAAGCGGTCCTGGTGATGGGACTCCGGAGGTGCATGGTGACATTCACGTAGTTTGTCCCGTTGTAGGGATAGCCCCGAGGGTATGTCACTGAAGCAAAGGTTGCTTTCTCACTGTAGCCGGTATCATCCATCCAGTACATTTTGTACAGACCATCCCGTTGCCTGATAAAAGCCCCGTGGACCCCATCTACCACTGTTTCCTCAAAGGGAACATCCACATTGTGGAAGAAGCTTGCGGCGGTCTCCAAGGGGCTGTCCTCTCCCAGGTGTATTTGGTCCACGAGGAGAAGGAGCTGTGGATGAAGGAGGATCAGATTCCTCTGCACGCTCCTCAGATTAAGCTGGGGGTTATAAGCTCCCACACCTTCCCCTCGGATGAAAACCACTCCATTTTTCTCCACTGCTGCAACCACTCTCCCCTGGCAGCTGGCGGCCAGGTCATGCTTGTATTTAGACCATTTCGATGAGCAGTCTTCCGTGACCTGACCCTCCCAGGGAGAAAAGCAGCTCTTTGACACAGCTGGGGAAAACATCAAAACATTGTTGAAGAAGGTGTACTTTGGCCCATAGAGAGCCTCAGTGATGAAAGGCACACCATTGGGAGCAAAAGTAAATGAGTTTTGATCAGGATGCTCGTGCCCGGCATTAAAATTTCTCCATCCTTTGATCCAATCTTTGTATTTGTTTCTGTGGACAATGTCATATATTGCACGGCCCCCCAGTTTTCCTGACTTGAAGGAAAGAAACGATCTATTGATTTCTGCAGGCAGGGCACTTCCGTAAGTCACAACACCCCAGTCTTCAAAATAATGCAACGTAGGGGTGCCAAAATCCGGAGGAGGAACAGATTTCAAGCTGGCATCATACCTGAAAGGATTCATTTTTAAACAATGAAATGGGTTTCTGGTGGAAGTTAAATAACACCTCAGGACTGTGATGCCACTTTGTGACGTGGCTGGAGGAAACAACACAATGCTCCCCAGAGGGCCGGCTGTGTATTCTGTGTTCGGGACACTTCCGGAAACACCCGTGGATAAGCATGCACAGGGGAGCACCCTTGCTGAATGGGAGAGGAGTACTTCACACCGTGGGATCCTCGGGCTTGAGCCTGAAATGGCTGCTGCTGTTCATACTACAGGGACGTTCTTCACATAACGATTTCAGAACTGCCATCCAAATGACCAGGGCTCACAGAATTAAGTTCCCATCTAAACTAGTCCAGGGGTGCCTATTCTAGAGAACCCCGTGTTAGGATCTAGACTCTAACAAGCCTCAAGTTGTTAGGAAGTACTGTTCTGTCATGGCTGATATTACTGAAAGTTTGGTAGAGTACTTTCACCCTCTAAAAAAATAGATTTAAATAGAATTGAATTTCACACACTAGATAAAATTTACTACCAATACCACACGTAAGAATGTAAGTGGATGACAGGCGCCTGGGTGGCGCAGCCGGTTAAGTATCTGACTCTGGATCTCAGCTCACGTCATGATCTCATGGTTCATGAGTTCGAGCCCCACATCGGGCTCTGTGCTGATGGGGTGGAGGCTGCTTAGGATTCTGTCTTTCCTTCTCTCTGCGCCTCCCCCGCTTGTGTGCACTCTCTCTCAAAATAAATAAAGAAACTTAAAAAAAATTAAAAAAAAAAAGAATGCAAGTGGATGAAATTCAAGAAACTATTAATACCAGGAGATTTATAATTGTGGCCTACTAGTGCCTACCTGGACCCACAGGTTTTGTTTTAATCTGCAGATGATGTCATGCATTTTGGACAATAAATGGCCTCTCATTTTTTTATTTATGACAAATGCTTATTGTCAAATTTATACAATAATTAACATTAAACTTTCACAGTGATTAAGAACACAGGTTTGTGGCTCAGAGAGGCCCCCAAAGTAATCATAAACAAGACTGTTTGCTTTTGATGATTTGAGATAACATTTCTGACAGGTCTGGATGATTTACTGCTCAAGGGAAGAAAGGCAGGCCTAGATTATTAGCTCTTAGATGCTTTTCTCTGAAATGAATCAATCACCAATGGTAGAGTTAATCTTACTGGTGTTTGGTTTTGGCCGTTTTGTGTCTTGTTCTAGAATCTCAGGCCATCAGAAATTGTGTTTCTTTTCAGGTCTAGTTAATAATGTTGACTTAATTATTGTGATTTAACAAATCCAGATATAAGACAAATTGGTAATACTTCTCTGACTTTGGTCACTTTGCATATTCCTATAAATGGCAGAATTTGAACCAAGTGAGATTTAGCATCAATCTGACTCCTAGAGTCAGCTTTATAGGGCTCTCCTGGTCATATATTTAGGGTAAGTGAAATCACATCAAATTACTATTTTATCTGTGACAACAGTCTTTTAAAATGCTGGTTAAAGGATAACCAGTTTTAACTTTATTAATGTCTTTGTCCTCTCTTAATTTTTTAAATTAAAAAAAAAATAATGAGAAGTAGAGCAAACCACAGAAGCTTATCTTGGAGTTGAATACACATTTCAATAGCTTGAAAAGACATCAAGGATTAATGATTAACCAGTTCCCTGTAATTTTTATTTTAACTTATTGGATGCCAACAATATACTTGGCAGAACTTTAAACAGGAGGCCCTGGCTTCTCTTTCTGGGCTTAAAAGATTAAGGCAAAAAAAATTACATGGTTCTTTTATTATCAAAGTGAAACTGTCAAATACTGTCAAACACTTTTAAATAGTTTTGAAAATTTAGTACCAGCTTTGCTATTAGAAGATTATAATGCTCCATTTACTAAAACAAAACATTTTACTACCTTTATTTATTTATTTCTTTGGTGTGATTGTCAGAGTAAATCCCAGTCTAAATTGTGTGCTTTTCTCTTTATATGATTTCAAAAATGATGGAAATCAAAACATGCACATCTATTAAATATGTGAGCCTAAGTCATCTCCCAGTATGAGAAAATCAAAAACCGCAAACAGTGATGAGATCTTACATGTAAGGAAATGTTTCTAAATGTTTCTAGCAGTGTCAAAGGCTGTGATATGAATTGAAGCTGCAAGGCGGGAGGGGGCATGGAGAAAGGGCTACAAAGTACTTTAGATAGTTGTTCTTTTTAATTGCAATAAGCTAGCACCCTGTATCCCCAGGGCCCAATTCCCCCCTCCCCGCCCCCCTAGACAGCCCCACGTGTCATACCAGAGAAATTCCGTGTGAAGAGTGCACCAACGCTGGCCTTTGGATGGTGTTCCTGGACCTTCCACCACACGGTTCCTCCTGATTTGGTCAGCCAGCCAGTTACCACTGCCATTACGCATGACAAATTTATCCAGGAACACTAATTGGCTTTCTGGACCATAAAACCAGTTGTAATTGGAGTCTGCAATAGCCACAGTTCTTTGAAACCCTGGGGAAAGAGGTTTGACAGAATTAAGATAAATGTAAAACTGCATATTCCCATGAAGATCTAAACAATGATTTTCAATCCTGGTTGCAAATTAGAATCAATTCTGTATCCTGGATTAAAAAACCAAAAACACAATGTCCAGGCTTTACTCCAGCCGAGTTAATCAGAATCCCTCTGAAGCCCTTCCACAAATCTTGTGTACAAGTTTGTGTCTGTTATGTGGCAGCTTATTATTGGTAACAGAAGTGCCATAGTTCCTAATGCATTTGTATATGGCCCCCTTCCTCATTTTCCAATGTCCATGTTACGTGTAATTATATTTGCGTAGACACACAGGCTATCTATCCTCTGGTGCGTGGTGAGCTGCAGAACCTGGAATGAACATCAGCTCTCCTACCAACTCAACCCACATTCTACGCCAAGATAATGACAGAAGGTGCTTCAATCTTGCATCCAATAAAGTGGAAGTGATAAGGTTTAAGGGAGAAACTCCATTTCTATAGGAAGAAAACAATTCCCATGGAAGAGCCTGCTAATACATACTGCTGGAAGTTAGAAAATGCAAAGATCATACAGGAATAGGTCAGCAAAACAAAAGCAGGTAAGACTGGATATGATCCAGGTGTTCTTGAAGAATGGGAGGCAACTCTGAGCTAGACAGGAATAATTGGTACTAGAACAGACATTGTAGAAGGAACAAAAAGAGAAATGCTGTTGAGAACAGGCTGACTTTTAACACACAATCCCTTCTAAAAAGATGCCATGACTGTATTTACATAATTTACAGCTAGTGTTTTCACTTCTACCAGCTTCGTAGATGCTACTGCAAATAAGTCTTATGATAAAATGTGACTTCTGAATCTTCTATTAATCTGTGAATTCCCTGAAAGCAGATGATATGCTTTATTTCTCTTTGAATCCCCTGCCTTGTACAATGCCTGGCATGTAGATGTTTAATAAAGATTTGCTGGATTAACTGGCACAAATACATGCATCTTTCTTAGAGGTATTTATACTGTCTTCCAGTTTAGGATGCAGTCAGGGACACAGCTCACAGCAGTGATGTGGCTGGCTGTTAGATCTCAGCTCAAATTACAAAGCAGTGAGACCTCTTCAAGATCCCTTGCTTTAGATGGCCTTTGTTTATCAAGATAAACTACAAAACAGACCTCTCCTCTATCTAAGAATATGCAGTGAAACAATAGGGTTCTGAATGTTCAGTCTCAACTAAACTTTAAGAATCTTAGGGTTCTTTTGCTCTGTAATGTTTTCTAGATAACTAATCCAATAATGGGAGTACTATTCAGTTCATGTGTCAACAACCAGAGCAAAAGATTTAAAGACTGGATTATTTACCAGAGGTCTAGAATCACCACCTAAAAATTGCATTTCACTGGGGTAAAAAAAATCCCCATCCTGACGAAAATCTACATCCTAAACTTTTTCAAACATCTTAGTCTTGTTTAGAAATGAGAGTTATAAGGCTGTCCTAGAAATGAATGCGTTCTTGAATCAAATACATCTGTTTTTAGAGCCAGTTCTCTTAGAAGCCTAAGCTACATAGCAACACAGAATTTAGAAGCTTTATAGCAATTCATTTTTTTTTGACTTTTCAAATGTTTATTTATTTTTGAGTCACACACAGAGAGAGAGAGACACAGCATGAGCAGGGGAAGGGCAGAAAGAGAGAGAGCGAGCGAGAGAGAGACAGAATGCAAAGCAGGCTCTAGGCTCTGAGCTGTCAGCACAGAGTCCAACGTGAGGCTCGAACTCACAGACCGAGAGATCGTGACCTGAGCCGAAGTCAGACCTGACTGAGTCACCCGGGTGCTCTTACAGCAATTCATTTTTTTATTTTTTATGTAATTTTTTTCAATAAACTGTTTAAAGAAAACACCAAAGCTCCAGCAAATACATAGGTGTAATCTTTCATTTTGAATATATATAAAGTTCGGAAATAAAAACTAAAAACTAAAAAATGAAAGAGACTCAAGTTATGATCATACGTCAAGGAAAATTACCATGTAATCATAAATGTTTATATTTTGTGAAGGTTCATGAAAAGTAATTTGTATACGTACCCAAGTATACTTGGGTACAAGTATACCCAAAATACAAAAATAAAAGTACTATGGGGGCTATGAATTGCATCTGATCCATTATGCTCCAAGTTTTAGAGTGTGTAAATCACAAATCCTCGCATTAATTCTCCAAATGTTCTGGTGATACATAACTCTTGAATTCTTTATTTTTTTTTTAATTTATATATGAAATTTATTGTCAAATTGGTTTCCATACAACACCCAGTGCTCATCCCAAAAGGTGCCCTCCTCAATACCCATCACCCACCCTCTCCTCCCTCCCACCCCCCATCAACCCTCAGTTTGCTCTCAGTTCTCAACAGTCTCTTATGCTTTGGCTCTCTCCCACTCTAACCTCTTTTTTT